ATTTTCTAAACATATTTCTATTAAAAACTGTAATGAAACGTGAATAAGTGACAACGAGGGAGGATGTGGATGAAGATGTTCTAATTAACTTCCTCCCACCCTTTTTCTTTAGAGATTTACACAGAATACACGGTGGGGTCTAGCTACTGGCGGGCCTCCGGGGGTGGGGGGTGGGAGCAGCAAATTTGGAATAAGTTTGTTTATGCCTGCAGCATGGAAACCAGAATGACTTAATTTTCTATTTTAGGGAAAAGATAAATACTCTGAGCAGTTAGAAGTAAAAAAGAAAGTAAAGAATAATAATCCTCTGACCCAGAAAGCTGGATTAAGGGTACTTTATGATCAGATTGTAAAACACTGGGGTCTTTTCTGATGCTGGATTAAAAGATAGTAAATTATGCCAACTCAAACAAGAGGCAAATAAACTAAACATACTGTGTAATTTAAATGCTGACTTTAAAACAATAATGTTCACAGTTTAGTCAAAGTTGTTCCAAAAACACATTAACAAGAATTTGAACTGAATGGTAGAGGGGTCTGTCTAATTCCTGGATTTGTTGTATTGTTGTGGGCATGTTTCCACTAACAATGAGGTCATTATTAGTGTATGAAACAATGGAGGCATGCATCACTGGTGTCTGACAGGCTGGACTGCCAGCAAGAGACGTCCACTCCGATTATACCTTAAACTAAAGAGAACATTCAAAACTAGTTTGTACAGAAAATACAGGATTTGTAATCAGACTCAAGTACTGTCTCCTTGCACATGCAGGGAAATGTTAAATTAAAGGCCAAGCAGTCCTTGAAGTACAACTCGTAATGCTTTTTTTGTTGCCCGAGTTTTAATCTGAGATCATGCTAGAACTGTTTTGGTTAAACTAAAAACAGAGTATGAGTAATGTCACTGAGTGCATCATGTTTGTACACAACCTGTTAGTGTTTAGAGTATGTGTTGTGAACGACTCTTAGCATCTATCACATCAAATTTCACCTCAATATCTCTGAAACTGATTGGCTAACAGCTTTTGTGTTTCCTTCAGTCAGTGGGCAGTGGCGGCCATCTTAAATTGGACGGACTCCAAAAGGTAATCAGCTGTAGATACACAACGACTGATTGTGTTCTGCAAGTTTCATTAAAACCCATCCAGTGTTTCATGAGATAATTTGCTAACAGACAGACAAAGTTTACTAATGGCAGAGCTTTAAACAGTCTTGTGTGCTCAGTTAGTGCTCAGAATATGTGCAGGGGATGACTCTCAGCTACAACCACTCATTATCTTAGCTCAGTTATCACAGTTTTTGTGTTTGCTAACGTCAATCAGCTGTGGCTAACTTGTTAAATCTGAGGCTGAAGACCCAAATCTGTGTTAATACATGAATAAAACACTCATTGTTATTAATATCAGTCCAGCTGTGTCATTTAGTAAACCTGTGTCAGGGTCCTCAGGTCAGATTTCATAATCCTGTGAGGGTGGGGAACACCTCATCACTTCCTGTTCTGTAACTTTCTTCCATTGTCCCCATGCAGGGCAGCACAATGTGTCCTCATGTCCAACTCCCTTCCTGAGCTCAGGACCAAGTCCAGCCTTCACTTTCCTCTTCTGCTGCTGGAACAGTCTCATTGAGTGATGAGCTCACACAGGCAGGGATCTTTCCCTGAAAACCACAGAAAATGACGTCATGGCTGACCCCAACAGGTCAGAGTAACCACCATGACTCACTCTATCTATCTATCTATCTATCTATCTATCTATCTATCTATCTATCT